TTGGTAGCAAATGATAAAATCCTCGCAAAGTTATTAGCGGTTAAAGTTTTATACAAAATGGCAGACACAAGTTTGTTGGTACCATGCCCTCAGCGGTTTTAACGCAAAAACGAGGGGAAACTTTAACTGCTAATAACTCAAAGAGGATTGAACCGTTTGACTTGCAATTTGAAGCAAAGATAGAATGCAACAAGGGTTATTTGTTGTGTGGGTCACGTGAGTGCCAGCCCTCACTCTAAAGTCTGCAAGTATACCAGACTTTTACTGCTTAGAACTTTAAGATAATATTGAGGGAGGCTTTCGAATCTGCAGACATTATAGAGTGCAAAAGTAGCTATCTGTATAGAATGTTGATTTCACCCCTAACTATAATGTCTAAGTATGGGCACTCGTTACTGGAACTTGAGGTCGTCATTAGAGACTAAGGCAAGGTTTTTTTTCCTTCAACGTTTTTTGCAGCTGAGCCAGTCACCATGAGCCGCCGTGTGAAATACACCCCAGCCGAGGACCGCGCGCTCCAGGCCTTCGTTGAGGCCAACAAGTTTAACTACCCTGTGACCGGAAATAAATTGTGGATCTTCACAGAGACCCAGCAAGTAACTGATCATTCCTGGCAATCCATGAGGGCCAGGTATATGCTATTGTCAGGGGCCCCTGCGAAGAAGGGCAAAAAGAAGCCCTCAACGAGACCCTCCCTGGGAAGCGGCACTCAGGGAACAATTCCATTTCACCCGTCGTTCACCTCCACCTCCACCCGCCCCACCTCCACCCACCCCACATCCACCCACCCCACCTCCACCCTCACCACCTCCACTTGTACCATGTCCACCCGCCCTACCTCCACCCACTCCACCCACTCCTCGACGTCGACAGTTCCACAACAAGTTACTGTGACGGACGCAACGACACAGACAGACGGCACGGGGATGGTCAGCGTCGGGTTTGGCATCCACCTGTTCTGCCCTGTCACGCAGTACAGGCTGGTGGATGTCAGCACCCAAACAGTGCGTCTGCCATCCCAACAGACGTTCGCATTCATTTTAGACATGCATGCACCATGCATTACCATACGCATCATACGTACGTCATACGCCCATACATTCTCTTTGTAAATAAATTTTGTAAATAGACGTTTATATTAGTGTATGTAAGAAAAATAGCCAAAAAAAAAATACATAGACCAAAAAAATCACATTATTGTAAATAGTTTCAATTCAACAAAGTTGAATTTTTGTAAATACCTTTGTAACTAGAATTGTCAAATAGAAGATGTTAACTTAAGACTTATTTATTGTAAATGTCACTGTACAAAAAATTGTATATATTTTAACTTCTGTAAAAATAGCCTTGTAAATACTCATTGTTGCTTTAGAA